TGATATCTTCAATTATAAATCCTCCAACTTTATCCTTATTTCTCAAGATTGTGCTGGCGAGTCTTCTCCCTTTACATTTTAATATACATTTTAAAATCAGGTTGTCACTCCCCCCCCCCAAAAAAAAACCCAAATCTGAGATATTGATTGGAATTTATAGGTCAATTTGAAGAAACTGATGCCTTAACAATATTGTGTCTTTCAGTCCCTGGGCAAGATCATTATATATTTGCCCCACTCACCATTTATTTAGATCTTTTTAAAAAAATTTCTTTAAGCAATGTTTTCTAGTTTTTCATGTAGAGATCTTGCTCATCTTTCATTAAATTTGTCTATAGGGGGCTGGCCCATGGCTCACTCAGGAGAGTGCGGCACTGGTAGAGCCGAGGCCACGGGTTCGGATCCTACATAGGGATGGCCGGTGCGCTCACTGGCTGAGCGTGGTGCAGACCACACCGTGCCCTTACCGGTCAAAAACAAACAAAAAAAAAATTGTTCATAGGTATTTGCTGGTTTTGATGCTATTGTAAATGGTGCTTTTTAATTTCTTTTTCTAATTTTGCTAGTATATGGAAACAAATTGATGCTTTCTACTAATTTTATATCCACTGACATTGTGAAATCCACTAATTATTTCTAAGAGTCTGTGAATTCTTATGAATTCCGTATGTACACATTCATAGCATATATGACTAATAACAATTTTATTCTTGCTTTCCAAACATTGTACCTTTTATCTTTCTTTTATTTGCCTTATTGCCCTGGCCAAGATCCCAGTATAATGTTGAATAGAAGTGGTGAGAGCAGACATAGTTGGAAGACTTTTGAAAATCTAGGTACACAGGTTTCATCCACTCAAACTCTGACTCAGTAGGTTCAAGTTGGGGGCCCAGAAAATTTACATTTTAACAAGTATTTTAAGTGATTTTGATGTAGGCGTATCCCAGGAAAACACTTTGACTAATATTTTTAAAGGATAAGCCTTGCTCACCTGAAGAATTTTCTTAATGAGGAATGACTATTGCATCCGTTTTCTTCCTCCCCTTCCCACATCCATCCTCTTCCAAGCTGAAGTCAATGAAATTGAAAACAGAAAAATAAAGTGCTGTTTTCTTAAGCACAGTACTGTGCTGCTTCTCTTTCCCTGCCTCTAGCTCAGGATATAGTATGCATGTAAATGTTAAAATGTTGACTGGCTTTAGAAAAGAAAAGGAAAAAATGCCTTTTTCCCAAGTCAGCAATCATATTTAGAAAGACACAATCATGGGAGTATATTTGGAAGTTGTTGAGGTCACACAGTTGATTTCGATCCTTTCTATATACACACCAACATCCACATATGCACACATACAAACAATCATATGGGTGTTGCCACATGATGGAACAGCATGAAGGGAAGAAATAGACTCTAGAGGATGCAGAGTTATATAGAATAGACTTGAATAATATGAAATAATTTGGGAGCAGTATAGATACCATGTGGTTTCCTAAGTGGGATTACATACAAATCAAAGGAAGATTGTATTTTCCTAGATTGAGACTAAATAAGTCATGGATGTTTATGGAAAAAAAGTCGAGATACAGGAATAGCCACAAATAATTACAGAGTATTGGAGCTAGGCAGGCCCTTTAAGATCATGTTATCCAACCCTTGCATTTTTATAGGTGAAGTGGCTGAGCCACATACTGGTAGAGTGACTTGCCCAGTGTCGCTGGGTGAGGTAGTGACAGTAGTAGGAGCAGCACTCACCATCCCTGATTCCCACCCAGCGCTCTTCCTCTGATGTCACTCAATCAGATATTTTATGATAAGAGTTGTGAATACGAAAGAAATCCCAGAAAATAAAAAAATGTGGAAATATTGGGACAAGTCCACAAAAGTGAGCCCTTCGTATAGTATAAGGGATTGACTCTGAAAGAGAATTGTTAGAAAGAACTAAAGAAAGATGTGAGAAAACAGAGGCAAAGTGAAAAGAGAGTAGGAAAAACTAGATGAAAGACAAAGAAGAAGAAAGGAAATTAGGGAGGCCAAAAAATGGAAGATAATAACCAGAAATGAAAATGTGATCAAAAGAACTCAGGAGCATGAAGACAGATGTAGCATTTTATGCCCATCTTGTCAAAGTATATTTATCTAGAATTATTTCAATAATAAAACAGTCTGTAATTAAATACATGAAAGTGCATTTAAACCCCTTTGAAGAGGAATAAACCTAAAGTGATAGCAATATTAAGTTCCCAATCCACTAAAATGTTAAATGAATAAGAATCAGAAATTCACAGATGTACTTCTCTATATCAAGAACCATTAATATGTAAAATCAAAGAAACATTGGTAAAGCTAAGGCTAGGTATTCAATGACTTATTTTTCTAGAGACATAGCCGAGAAATGAAAATATAAGAGGTGGGGTGAGGAATTTTAAACATTTCGAACAAATAAACTCCATTAATTCAAAAGAGATGGAGTTTATACAATATTTATAATTATTCGAGTTCATTTCTTTACTTTTTGCAATTCCTTAAGAACCTGAACCTAAATGTTGTAATCATAATATTGACTTACAGCCTGATTAGTCATCTAAAAGTAGTAACTTTTATAATTCACTTGATAAGCCAAACACCCCTGTTGTACCCCTTGGAATATGAGGCAACCATTTTTAAAAGATGTTTAACAGAGATAATGAGACATAATAATGAGACAAATGTCATAGAAAAGTAAACTTAAAATGTGGCTAATCAACCACGTGTATATACTTAGCCAATCAATATACTAGGTAAGGGCACAGGATTTGAGATCGGGAAGACATGGATTTGGGCCCTAATTTAGCTCCTCATTAGTTATGTAACCCTCCTTCACTCCTTTTCTTTCTTCTCTCTTCCTCCCTGTTTTCCTCCCTCTCTTCCTTTCTCCCCCATCCCTTCTTTATTCAAAAATATCTATTAAGCATTTACTCTGTACTGGGTTCATGCCATAAACTAGCTAGCTAGTTACCTCACATTTTTGAGAGATCCCTCGAAATGTTTATGGCATGAAATGTTTATAATGCACAAAATTGCGAGGTGCAGAGACAGAAATGAAGCAGGCTTGTTGGGGAAAATGCAAGCAGAAAATAGAAAATAATAGAGAAGGATGTAAAGACATGTTAAAGTCAGTCACAGATGGTCCTGAATGCCAGGATAAGCAGTTTCAAATTAACATGCAGAGAAATGGCTAACAATTAGAAATCAAGTGATTAGGAGGTAGCCTAGCACAGGAAGGCCAAAGGATGGGATTATTTGAAGGACAGATTATTAAATATTTCAGAGAAGCCAAGAAAGAATTGTATTTGACTGTCAGAAGGACATTGATGACCTTTAAAATAACTTTCGTTGAGTGGTGAGCATAGAAACCAGTGGTGGGGATGAAAGGAGGTGATTGGGTGTGAAAAAAAGAAGGCTGGGGGGCGAAAAGCTCCACAGGAAGATTAAACAGAATGGGAAGGAAATAGTAGGTAGAGATAGAGGAAGCTGCAAGGCCAGAGGCAGATATATATATTTCCTAAGATGAAGAGTTACTATTCATGTGTGAACGATATAGAGAGGGAAAGATTCTAGGGTGAGAGGATATGAGATGGGAGTTAGAACTGACAGCTGAGGCAGAGATGGGAGCCTTGCAGAGCCTGAGCAGCACTTCCTCCTTTGAGGAAGGGCACGACTCCACACTGAGATGTCCTTTGTAGCAGGGACAGAGCCAAGGTAAGGTTTATCTGTGTACTCCAAGTGGGTACTTATTAGAAGAGTGGCAACGTTAGGCTACAAAACGACTAAGCAGCTAAAAGACAAACATAAAAGAGTTTAGCCCATCAATGGTTTCAGTATGAGCTGAAACCATTCCTATTCACACCTTAGAAACCTTTCTAGGATCCTCTGCTGTGTTGCAGGGAGGGTTGCAGGTGGCAGTGCAAACATTCAAAGAAATATACAGTCCTTTGATCTTCACCTCTCCTTCAGAAACAATGGTACAGGGTTGTAGAGACTACAGGTCCAATCCAAACACTATTATCTGTGCTATAAGTGACAAAATAAAGAGAAAGTTGAAGGGTAAAATGAAGAATTTATGTGGAGATAAACACATCCTAGAAGTTAATGGGTGTAAAAGACAGACACTGAATTCTGTGTGCATATGTCCAGTCTACATTGAAATGATCAACTTTAGAAATCTGTTAAACTGCTCCCAAACTTGAATACACTTTCCCCTACCCCCGCCCCCCCCCCACCTCTACGTTGTAAGAGGCTGATAAGAGAGCTTCTGAGGACTGCAGATCTGATTCTAGTTCTGTTGGAGCTCCTAGCTGGGAGAAGGGAGCAGAGGGCTACCTCGGGCACAACGCTCTCCTTCACGACCAGCTGGACCAGGGCTTGCACCCCAAGACTGACAACTCCTCGCAGGGAATGCCAAAGCTGGGATATCCTCAGTCTAGGGAGTCATGTGGGTTAAGGAGACCATAGAGAGTGCACTTGAGCAGAGATAAGTGCATTTGGCGGGAGAGGACACAATGCTGACTGGGCATCTTTGCTCTGGAGTCTTCCCTTTGCATTAGCCTATCTGTGCCAAGGGCTGAAAACTAGGGCTGCAGGCGGGAGGCGGAGTGTCAGTCCAGAGCACTGACCCTTGGCCCTGTGGCTGGGAGAGGAGTTAGGGGGAGCCCCTGGCGCAAGCCTGGGATAGCCCGATCTCTGCTCCAGTCCACAAATCCTTAACAGGTTTTCTTTCTCTCCCTTCACCCCTTTCTCTCCTTTGCTCTCTTTCTTTCTCCTTCTTTTTTCCTTTTTCCCTCTCTTTTCCCCTCCCTCCCCGCCCCCTCTCCCCA